CGGATTTTCAAGATGTGTCATCAGGTGCCTCCGTTTCCAAGCAAAACAAAAGTCAACATCGCTTCGCCGCGGCGACCATTTGAGCTTGGACTTCGCACTCTAGTTCCAGGGTGGGGTAGTCCTAGTCCTTAAGAGCCCTAGTCGCATGCAGGTATGTCCAATCGTGTCTCTGGTGCGCTCCAAAAACGCGCCGTGAACGATCGAACTCTGGAAAAAAATCATGCTCTCTTTTTTTCGGGTACGAGTTTTTGGGTAATCACCCCTCAACTCTTGCCCAAGACAGCCAAAACGGGAGAAGCTATTCCTCGACGGCAACGCCTTGGATCGGGGTGTGGTTTTTTGTGTTGTGGGCGCAGAAACCAAAGCTAGAAATCGCCAGAAACAGATTTTTGGGCTCAAGGGGGAAAAACGGAGCATCGGCGAAAAGAACTCCAAATATCATACGTTTGCGGCAACCAAAGTGCGGAGGAAAAAAACTGATCCGGTGTTTCCTTGAGTATGTTCTACAGACTGGTGTCATGCAATATGAAGAGTCAACTCTCCACCAGGAGCCAGGAATACGTACTCCCAGTTTCTTCTCTTTATTGAAGTCAATTCCAAATCGGCCGCCGAGGTTGTGAAAAAAAAAAAACATTTTTTTGGCAGTCTGCGCGCTGTGTTTTTTTGGTCGTTAACGACGTAATCTCGAGGTCTAACAGTAGTGCAAAAATGATCAGCTACTGACTCGGGTCAGTTGTTGTGCTTTTGGTATGTTTTTTCCTTGCCCGCAGGTCGATCTGGGAATCACTTCTTGATGATTTCCAGCTATCTCGCGATGGGATTCTGCTGCCGGTCTAGACTGGTGAGTCAGAAGTACAACCATCGTATCAAGAGTCACAGGGGTGGTTGGCGGTTCTAGGAAGTCACTAACGGTTCATGTGTGAATGTCGTCGAAGTGTTCTTACCCTAACCGTTTACGTAGTGCTCTGATCGTAGACTCCGGCATCCATCAAAGCCAGGACGGAGTGACTGACACCTCTCACGTCTTCGGAACGAAAGGGTGGTCGTCTCTTGTCTCCCGCTGCGTAACTGAGTTACGGGAGGAGGGAGGGGCCTTTGCAATACTCGTCACGATCGAGCCGTGGCCCAGATTCAGGCCTATCCCGGAGGAATAAACAACACTGGGGGGGTGCTTCCGCACGCGAGAGAAGAACCAACCATGAAAGAAAACCCTAAGGTTTCGAAGTGGAACGGTCGCGGTTCGTGCTCAACGGCAACCTTGAAACGTGGACCTCGCTCCGCGTGAAAGCCAGCCCCGCAGGGCCGCTGGCACTCTGTTTCTTCTCAGTCACCCAGGAACGGGAATAGGCAACTCGCCCACACACACACGCTCCATCAAGACCCAACCATGTAACTTAACTCCCGAGCCCTTCATCTCATCCGCCAGCCAAAAACCTACCGTGCCTGAGCCAAGGGGTTTTCGATAACAGACGGCATTTACTACGTTAATAGAGGTGGAATGAATCAAGCATGCTTCAACAACCCACGGCGCACGAAGAGCACTGTACACAACTTTCGACGGGCCGGTGAGGTTCAAATATCGACGCCCGTGAAACCACTTTACCATGTCAGTTAACCCTGCCGGAGGTGGACACAGCCATGCCGGGAGATGACGAAGGAGGTGGTTTCAAGGCTGGAGAGCGGTGGTTCGACTTCTCTAGAGTGACGCCCCCTTGGCCCGGGTTTGAGCAGCTGGGAGACAACCCGGAGGTTTGCCGGCCACAGATGGAGGACGGAGCGGACAACGCTTTCGGCTACGAACGTGAGGGTTTTCCCGCGATGCTTGTCACGCCAGTATCGGAGAGAGAACCCTGCTGTCGATGTTTCTGGTACAGCAGTATGTCGATCCTCATTGTTGTTCTCACCCACCGAGGGTGAGGCCTGGGGTCAGGAGGTTCAATACATCCAAAGAGATAACAGCTGGGGACACAAGTATGGTCGACGTTGATGTCACGCGTCGTCATCACCCCTGTGCGGTACAATTATATCATTCTTTTCACTCGGGATGATATCACCAACTCAGTTGGATTGATTGTATCATTCTTTTCACTCGGGATGATATCACCAACTCAGTTGGATTAATTGTATCATTCTTTTCACTCGGGATGATATCACCCACTCAGTTGGATTAATTCGGAGAGTTACTTGCGAGTTTTTTGGTAGATCGATCCACTCAATCTTATACCGCAATATTCGCGAAAAAGGGGCACCACCGTGTGTGTGTACGGTACGCTGCGCATATGACACGCCCTTTGCGTGCGCCTTAGGCGCGGCACGTGTGGAAGGCGCGCATCCAATCGCCCGCTCCCGCTGAAAACACATCACACAAGCACGTGTTGTTGGCTTCGTCATCCCCCATCTCTCGCTCTCCCCCCCCCCCCACCCCTCTCTCTCTCTCGCCTTCTCTGCGCACACGCGGGTGTCCCCCCGACCCGAATCGACGTCGAATCCACAGATATCCACTCGAGGCTCCTACGTTGCATGAACCGGGTTTACCTGAGAGGGTGCGAGAAAGCCTACCTTGGGAAAATGGTAGACTTGGAAGGCTTTTGCCCCAAGCAGGAACCCGGCAAGCGAAAGGGAGCGGGATCTCTCGTGGTACATATCCGGTCGGGGGACATTTTCAACCCCAACGAAGAGGGTCGGCGCCGGACGGAATTCGGCCAGGTGCCTGTACAGATGCTGCTGCTGCTGCTGCTGCTGCTGCTTGTTGTTGTTGTTGTTGTTGTTGTTGTTGTTGTTTGTTGCTGTCTTCGCATTTCAATCCGTTGGTTCGCGCCTGTTGTGGTTCCAATACTTTCCAAGCTTCCATTCAGGGCCGTCCCTTCGCCCATGTGAGTACCGGAGGCATGCATATTGCGTGGGTTAACTAGAGTTTGTCTTTATACAGACCCTTCCGTGACTTGGCTTAAACAGGCTCCTAGTACGCCCAGATCCGGCAGGTCTACTTCCCCACTCTGCTGAGGCTTGAACAAATCCCTTCGATGCGAGCGCAATAGAGGCCCCGCATTGTCTGAAACACACTTTACTGGGACCCCCAGAAACGCGACTTTCATCTCAAGACCTATGTCTTCCCAACTGCCCCCGTCGTTTCCAGCCACCTCTCCAGTACTACTTGCACGTTTTGGGAGAAAAGGATTGGGACAACGTGACGTTCTTGACCGCCGCATGGAACCAGAAGGCCATAAACCCGACGTTTTCGATACTTGAGGTAATGGCCAAGGCGGGAACTTTGGGGGATAACGTCCGATTGTTGAAGGTGAGGCACGACCAAAGCACATGGAAGCACACACACAATACTACACGCATCTGTTACTTACCTCTCAGCTTCCGAGTGCTAGTGACTGTCTCCCCGTAGTACCAAAGGTTGAATGTGGGAGACCCCTGGGAGAGAAGCACGTTTCTTTGCGTGGCCCCGTTCCTCGTCTTGAAGCACGCGCGTATGTTGAGAGGCATCGTATGTGCATAGAGCACCGACTTTGCAACAGTAGATGGGACACGCGAAAGGCAATGCACCACGCGGCGTCTCCGCTTGGTACCTGGGGGAGTTGCCGTTTGAAGGACTCGCTGGTTTAATCATGCGTGATCTTTGGGGCAAACGCTGCTCCTCATCTTGCTGCTTCCCGTGTGTTCTCAAGGACGGGTCTAGGCTAACTCTGCAATGCTGCAACTCAATCTTTCGTGCCTGACTTCTTCCAGACCGCGTGCCGCGCTCTTCCGAATCACCACTCCCCACCAACAACGGATTGACACGGAACCATGCGCTGCTTTCCTCTATGCTTCTGACCAATCGAGACCCCGAGTGAATGACGCGACGAAATACTTGTTGTTTCCGCTGACCCCTTTGTCACAATCCGATTGATTCCATGCACTTGTCGACTGCTGTGTCGTTGTAGTTTGCTTTTTTTCGAGTTCGGTCGGGCTTGCTCGAAGCACCTTCACCTCGACTTTCTAGGTTTACCGGTATCTGTTGTCCCCCTCTTGTCGGCGTTTAATTTTCATCTCAGAAATCGTTCTTCTTTCACAGGTACCAACAAGACTTCCTGCCCCCGGTGCCCATGTCTGGTGAAGCTAACGCCTCCATTCTGCTATGATCCTCTCTTCCGTTTAAGTCACCCCTTTTCACCAACGCGTTGGCCGCCTCAAGCTATCATCTACCCTCCCTACCGTGCTCCCATCAGAACCGATCCCTACTCGAAGACGTGCGGGAGATGCTCTGCGCGGACGCCTTGGCCACCTCGAGGTCGAGCATGAGCTTCCTCACCTTCGCGCACTCTAGGGCTACCACCTTCTTCGTGCCGACCCCGTGTGGCAACGGGGGGTTCCGCAGGATGAGAAGGCCGCCGGTTAAGGCAACCTTCGACAACACCACCTTGCTTCTCCTAGAGAAACCGGACGCGGAGGTGAGATCAAAGGCTCAGCAAAGAACATGTAATGTTTGTTGTCTGTCGTTCCTTTTTTTGAAAATATAGGCAGGCTACAAAAACGGCCCGTTTGTCAGGCGGTTTCTAGGTGGCGCCTTCATGCTGAAATCTGTCTTTCTTGTAAAAAAAAAAAAACTGAAAATGAGCTCGTCTGGAAAGACTAGGGACCCGTGTGGCAAAGCCAAGGCGTTGCTGAAAGTGGGGACGAGGCGAACCCAGCGTCCACCTTGCTTGCTGGACTTTTTCACTCGGGCTTGAACGTGCTTGTTTGTGTTGTTGGTTCTACATGCATGATGCTATTGTATTGATGTCGTACAGTAATGTCCATCCTCTTCTTGCAGGTATACGGGACTGCATGGCCAGGGAATTCGCCCAAGTACTCCGTATACCAAGCGTGGCATGATACCCCGGAACAGCTGCTCGAGATGGCCACTTTCGGCGGGATCGAGGGCGTGCAGAAATGTAGCGTTCACCCCCCGTGGCATGAATAGTCACGACACCCGCCAGAGAGGGGACTACCGTATATGACACAAGATAACACACCCCCTGGCCCGATTTTCAAAGCTCGATTTACTCGATGACGAAGAGGATACATAAACGAAATTATACATTTTCGAAAAGCTCCCAACGCGACGGTTCCAACGCCGCCGTTTTCGGCGCTGTGAGTCTTCCTGCTGTTGAGAAATCGATCTTTGAAAATCGGTCAAGGGGGTGTGTTATCTTGTGTCATATACGGTATACTGTAGACTGACTGTACATGGGAAAACGGAGAGGTAGTGAGTCAGGGGTGCACAGGGGCGGATGGGGCTTCGGATAATCAAAGCACATCGCTTGATGTGCTCCATGCGCTTGCCGCGTTCGCGTCATTGGCCTTTCTTTTCGGTACTTGGTTTCGTCTGTAAATTGGGTACACGATTTCAATGTAGCCTTTACGATATTAATCGTCTGGACCGTCGTCGTGTTCATTCATTCGTTCCCTGTGGGTGTAGACCTGCATGGTCCCGTTCGCGGCGTTTACGGTGGTTGGTCATGGTTGAGATAGTATGTAAGTACACAGGTACATAGTTCGGCGTCGGAAACCGTTCGTCCCTTTCATTGTTGGTTTTGGATGAAATTGAATCTCGATGTTTGTGTAGGCCACTGACGGCTAAATAGAAATTTAGGGCTCTGTGCTCCAAACCACCTCTGTGAAAAGAGAACGGTGCGGTTTAATTGTTGACCTTGTTCGTAGTGAAGCAGCATAAGAGGCATCGTGTTCGTGTGATGTACATATTAAATAAATCCTGGTCTAAGTTGGAAGCGACGCGCTGCAAAGCTCGTTGTTAGTAAACTAGATCCACTTCATCAGTCGCGAGGGATGGGATTGCTGTACCCTTCTCGCGATAAAAATATCTCAGGCAGGAACCGCAGGAGGGGGTCCAACCCCCCCCTCCTATGTGACCCCGGTTGGGTCGTCTACCCAGTAGAAGTGGAGGATGGGGACCAGAGGGGTAGACGACAGATGATGGGAGAAAAGAAGAAATAAAAAACAGAACTACATGTAGTACTGTACTCGGTATTTTTGGGGAGCTGGTTGGAGTTTGGTTGACTTGCAAATTCCCACTTTGGATTCTGATTTTTGAGTCAGGCATTCCGGTGAAAAGAAGGGCAACCTTCATTCAGCGTGCGTCAAGTGCAGCAGCAGCACGACAGAGGTGAGGGCAGCCTCTTTGTGTTGTGCTAAGTAACGAGATCAATGCAAGGATAGCTATATACGCAGTTACGAGGCCCGTATCCCTTCTCTCTTGAGCCGTCCCTCCACGCCACCACCACACAGCACAAACAGCAATGACAGCGGAAGTAGAGTGGGGTGATGCAGAGCAGGTACAATGGCAGCGCGTGGCGGGCGTTTGTGCCCATTACACGCGCTACAAGTACAGTAGACTATCTGCTATGCTATGTCGTGACACATAAGAACGAAGGGAGGGGATAGTGTAGCAGTCGAAAACATACAGTAGACCACTGCTGTGCTGCGAAGTGGAGCAGCAACAGCAGCGGGCGTGTTGCCCCCATATCCCACACGCCCCTCTTCCCTCTGTGCTGTGTGTTTTGCAGAGAAAACGGCGAGTGCCCGCGGGTGTCGCCTTCATATTTTTCAAAATGTGTTGATGCCAGAAGATATCTACCGACGAGATGCTCTTTATTTCCTTTACAAAAAAATGGTGCGAAATGCGGGTGGCTCCACCAGGAAACAATTGCATCCCTGCACAGAGAAGAGTCAGCGAAAGAGAATCTAGGCGTGTACCCTGCTTGCTCGTATGCCTATTGACAAAGAGGAGGAAGCTGGCTTTGGGCAGCCATTCCTTACGCTTGGCCGGGCGAGTGTTGTGTCGTGTCTTGTGTCGTGCCTCGACCGAGCGTCTGCGGTCGGCAGATATGAGAATAGCGAGCAGAAGCAACTTGATTCGCCAGTATTCCGAAACTGACAGTCTCGGCATGCAGGTGCAATGAACGAGTGAGAAGTTGCACCAGATGCCACACATCACACACGCACAACAGGCTCGCGCACTCCGGATGGATGAATTCCCCCGTCAGACATAGTACCCGTGGCGATGGTGTCGGCAGGGGCAACCGCAGCCTTTCGCCCTCCAGTCGCAAGATGGTGTCCAGCTTCGGCAAGAGGCGGGATAGGTTGGCCGGCAGCCCGAGAGATGGCGCTCGAGACGGCCGGCTGCAGCTGTTGTGGCAGCAGCCGGGCAAGGCGGCGTTGCTCTGCCTTTCAGGCCGCATACGCCTGACGGGACGGCCATCACATGGTGCGAAGTATTGCGTGGCGCGCGCTGCTAACAGGAACAATTTTTTCCCTCCCGTAGTGTGATGCGTGAAGTCCAATGTGGTGAGGAGTGTACAGCAGTAGATTGGCTCCAGAACGACACTGGGATTTTCGGAAACAACAGCAAAAGAGCATCGCGAGGGATGTTTAGCCGCCCAAAGCAGGGGATGTGCACCAGCGGATTCAGCAGCGGCAGCGCTACGCTGCCTGCGCTTCGATTATGCCGACACCGTGCGCCCCGTGCCGCGTAGTTTTGCTTGGAGCACGCGTGCTCTCAACTCCTGTGTAGCGTTGTACTCGTTGGCCACCCGCGAGAGGCAGCTGTCGGATCGATGAGAACGCTGGTGCTGTGGTGCTGGTGCTGTGTTGAACGGGAAATACTCCCGTGAGAAAAGCAGCAGTCCTGTACACATGTACTTTAACCCTTGCGTGACTGGGTTAATTTGGATTTTTATGTTTTTTTCCCCACAGCTGGCTCTCTGCGGTCAAATATCTTCCAAGCATGCGTGTACACCCATAAATCACGGCGGCAAGGATGGTGCAGCAGTGGGTCCATGTGTGGGGCTCACAGGGATGGGGACGCGGTATAGTCTATGTAAGAGTGACGAACAGGAGTCAAGTAGTACTACTGCTGAACAGCAGTAGCAGTTATGCGGAAAGAAATAGACTACAGCAGCAGTAGTTTCTGAGCAGGTGTGCATGCCTGTCTCCGACAGCAACCGTCCGCACAGTCTGTGCAAGCAATACCTGTTGGCACATGTTCTCCACCTCATCCTTGGACAGAGCATACGGCAAGCGCATGAATATGCTAGCGGCGCTAGATGCGAAGAGGCTGACGGGAAACCGCCTCACAGAAGCGCCAGATCGACGAAAAAAACGGCCCGCTCAACAGAGAATCGAGACCATCATCCACTACTCTATCGCTTGTCTATCGCACAAAATGCATAAAAATCGTGATAATTTTTACTATTCTGTACTACAAATAGAGAGCTGTGATCGGAGCTGTGATCGGAGCTGTAGTCCCGAAAACCCTTGCCTTTGAGCGAAATTTTGCACACAGCAGACGAACCACCCTTCACTCCCAATACTGGGAACCACACGCACCGCAACCACAACAACATCAAGCACCGAGGCAGTACGTTAGCATCGGCTCCGTGTGCGCTTTCTCTGGTCTCCCCCGCGGATGCGGCACCGGGTTGATCACATGTTCAGGGTGCTGTATGTACCCTCTCCGGTGGTATTGTGCGTTTGAATATCAGACTACAGCAGTACCGGTATAGGCAGTAGGTTGGATCTGGAAAGGATATCTGCCCCACGTCAGAGAGATGAGGCATGGGTGAATAGTGTTGTGCTATGTGAGTCCTGTGCGCATTGCTGATAAGCGTGCTTTTGGGGTGGGCTGCCTGTGTCTCCCTGCTGGTCTCTTCTGTAGTTTTTTTGCTCTTAGCCGAGGCACAACGGCGATCTTTCGGCACCCAAAGTGATCGGAGCTGGGAACGGAGCTCATTCGTGGGTGTAGTCACATAAGGGTTAAAGTAGTAAACAGGTACTGACTGCTGAAAACGCGTGTTACGGACGCATAGCTGTGTGCACAGTTTTGCGCTCCAGCGGGTGGCAAGAGGCGCAAATGGTAAGTTTTGTCCTCCAGTGTACATCCCACGGCTTTGAAATCTCATCTGCTTTCCGTGCCGAATTACTTGGCGCGTGAGCTACGAGTATGCAATTCACGATGCTGATTATCCCTCCTGCTGTATACCTCTTTGCTTCTCGCGCAACAGGTGGGATGGCAGCAGTACATCAAGCATATCGACATGACTGGATAGATATGAAATTGACTGTGACAAACCTGCTTCAGAAATATATGTAGATACGCGTTTATCATACCTTTGTTTGGCTGGGTCAAGGCTGTTCTGCGCCCTGCAAGCGTTGACCTGATAGCCTACACCTCCACCTGTTGCCTTGCCTTTTCGAACAACACGCGCCCTTGCATGGCTGCTGCTGCTGCTGCTGCTGCTGCTCGCGCATCCGTTTCACCCCAGGGTCTACCCGATTTTGGTTGCTGGTAGTGCTTGCCGCGTCTGTGGGGTTCATGGTAGTCCAACAATCTTCGGTGGGTACCCGTTGGGTGTTGGGTACCACATACCACGTACTGTACTTTTCATGTTTCCAGCGTAACTCTTTCAGCGTTTTCACCGCGGTTGCGCGAAGGCGACAAGGCGACGGAATTTAGAGAGCCGGCGGTAGACGGTAGACTGACTGCTACAGTAGTACCGCAGTTCTGTAGTCAAGTACAACCCGTAACTGAAGCCTCAACGCAATGTCACATGGACTAGTGGCAGACAGAGAGCGGTGGTTGTGTTGGTGAGCTTATCATTTTGCGATGCCCGTTGTATTGTACAGCGAACTTGTCAAACTTGTCAAACTTGTCACAGCCTCTTGGTTTCCGCAGGCAAAATCGCTTGACGTGCCCCCCGGTGTTGTGAGAATAAACGCGCTACGTACATGCTTGCCTTGTCTCAGTTTTCACCCAAGAATTTGGCGTATTCGCCGATTTCGCGTCCTCCCCTCCCCCCTCTCTTATTATTCTCGGTCCTCCCCTCCCCCCTCCTCTGCCTTCCGTCCTTCCCTATCCGCTTTCACCCAAGCATGGATGCGGCGCATCGAAGGACGGTCCCAACACGTTCATCTCGACATCATTAGAGGGAGAAGAGCCTGCTGAGAAGGTTCTAACCGGTAACACCCCTCGTTCTGTTCTTTCGGCCTTGAGAACTTTTTTATCACACTTGTGTTTCGATCTGTCTCACTCCGTTGATCGCTTCCTTTGTTACGTAGCGTCGGGTGACTATTACTTCAAGTATTTTGACGCTGGCTCTATTTCAATACTTGAACCCAATACAAAAAACAGGAAAGAAGCCTTCCTAGCGCTAGGTTCTAGACTATGCATTCTACAAGAATAGCGTTTAGGTTCTATGCATTCTAGAAGAGTACACAATGAAGAGGTATTCCGTGTGCTGGCACGTTCAGGTTTGCTACTGGAGCTGAAATGTCAAAGGTCGCAGCAGCCTCTGAAAACAGTCCGAAATCTGCGCCGGAATTTTCCCGGAACCACATACTTTTCACAGCCGTGCTCACCGCCACGGACCGTAAACCCCTGAACGGACGGTTGTCAGCAGTAGCTAGTGACATCAGCTTCGCAGTTAACCCGCAGTTCAGGAGAGGTGAAACGATACAAGAAGGTAGATGTTTCTCTTTTTTTAGTTGATCGCGACAAACCTTGTGCACGTCGAAGTATTTTATTTTCCCCATCTCGTTTTCGTTTACCTTCCTTCTTTCCTTCTTGTGGGTCGCGTTGATGGCCGGGGGGCTCTCTGGTGTGGAACGAGAATTAGTACTGTACAAGTAGGGAGAGATAACGAAACGAAAGAGAACAAATACGACACACTCTTCATTTTATTTGGTTCTCGTTGCTGGACTGCCACCTCAGAATGCTGCTACCGGCTACTGCTGTTTTTTTGCGCGCTCTCCGGTTTTGTTTGTTTGTCTTTGTGTTTTCGCAGCTTCAGAGGTCGCGGAGGTCGTCGTTAGGCAGAGAAAAGCAGGCGAGAACCCTTTCGTGTCGGAGGGGGTCTATTTTCATCTGGAGGAGTGCCCCTACGAGATTTCTAGCCTGCAGGCTGAAGCAGCCTTAGCCGGAGGCGTTGGGCGAGGCAACACGGTCGAGCTTCTCGATCACGGACGAGGCGAGACGATAACCCTATCCTAACCCAATGTTGACAATGTTGACAATGCTGACAATGCTGACAACGCTGTCAATGCTAGCATTGCTGCCAATGCTGCCAATGGGGACAGTGCTGACAATGCTGGAATAGTTGACAAGGCTAACGATACGCTGCCATCACAGAGTAGATGTAATTCGTAGGGGGATTTAGTCCAGGCTCGTAGCGAAACAGGCTGACTGAAAAGTCTGGAATTGTCAGTGCATGTAGTCTTTGTCTGAGGAATTGTCAGGGTGACCCTGAAGAAACCTCAGCGCTGTCATGCCTGCCCGTCGACAAGTTGGACCGCATGCATAGGCAGAAGCGTTGATGGTAACGGTGATAGGCGCTTGCTGTTGCGTGGGGTTCGGAGCATTGCCGGGACTATGGACAGTAGACCATCTGAACGTCTGAAAGGGTCGGTCATTAGACCCGATTTTTGTGCTGCACTGTTCTCCATCCCGTTCCGAAGGCAACGCGTTGCCCATGAAGCCAGTAATGTAACTCGCCCAGGTTGTTCACGGGGGGGAAACGGCTCTGAAAGCCTCTGCAAGAGGTTCGGAGTAGACAACGTTAACGCTTGTAGGGCCAGGTACCACCCGCGTACAGGCCGAAGTAGTCGCTAAGATGTTGCATAGACCTGCTTGATATTTTCTTGCTCTTCTTCTTGCGTTCACTCATGCACTCAGACCGAGTGAAGGCTAATGCCGGTATAACCCTACGACTGACATTAGGGTTTTATACCCTAAGCCTAACCCTGTTGTACGAGGGCTGACTGGATTTTGACCTTATGACATGCATGGCTTAGCGGCTAATCGCGTGTTAGGTTCTTTGCTGTTCTTTGGTTCTCCCCCTAAGGTGTTTGTGTGCGATTGCTCCCAGCAGGTCGATGCGGGAACCACTTCATGACGGTTTCGAGCTACCTCGCGATGGGCTTCTGCTGCCGGTCTCGATTGGTGAGCTGGATGGCGAGATGTAGAAACGGCGTGTACCCCGGTTGCTGTACACAGCCGTTCAGTCCAGTGGCAGAGTGCATGTTTTCGCTGACAGGTGGAGGGAGGAGACGTCTTCGGCCGTAGAGGTAGTTAAATAGTGTTCACGGCAGACCCTCGCATCCGACATTACAGCTCGAAGACAAATTCCGCCGTTCTGCGTTCATCTAGGGAGATGGTAAGGTTAATTTCGGTTCACTCTCTTGCCGGTGGTCCAGCCACGAGTTGTCACAAGCGCGGAGCGCCAAGTCGTAATTGTGAATCATGAGCGTCCCATGTTCAAACTGGAGATGTCTAGTTGGGTTGAGGAAGAAAGTTGGAACCTACCCTCCCTCTCTATGACTCGTTCGCACCACGGCTAAGTCAGCATCTGTTTCTTTTTCTCCAGACCAACCAAATGGTGAAACACTCCCCCATGCTTGACGAAGCTGACTTGCTGATCGACGCTTGGCCATTCTCCCCAACCCCCGTACCTACACACGTATCCCTACCCCAAGCCTACCCCCTATCTAAGTACGTACGGTTACCTTCCCTCCAGCTAACGCTGCCGGCGACGGACGACAAGCTTCCTGACGAGCTAGACAATTTCACGTCGGCGAGGCGGTGGTTCGACTTCTCCAACGTCACTGTTCCTTGGCCCGAGTATCAGGAGATGGGGGACGATCAAGAGGTGTGCCGGCCGGAGACGAAGGACGGGGGGAGAAAAGCTTTCGGGTACGAAGGTGAGAGGAGTGAACCGCACACCAGAGAGAACAGGCGCAGATGCCGTGTTCCGGCTTGCTAGTTTGGTTTGTTTCATCACCGCGTTGTGTGTTGTTGCGTCTGAGTGCTGTGTTGACGACGAAGGAGAGACGGGGTATCAGAGGTAACTACCGTTTTGTTCCCGTGCGGAACCAGAACAGAGTCTGGTACTGTTGTTGCAGTTTGAGCAGAGTACTGCTGTTGCAGTAGAGATGCTTTTATGTTGTCTTCCAACGAGCCTACCTCTAACCCTGCATCGGCGAAACCAAAGGTGGCAGATCCCAGCGGAACGGCCTGTCTCGATCCATGAAACAAGCCGAAATCAAACCATTAGACTACCCACGTAATTTTCATATTAGCCTTTGATTTAGCTGTGGATCTCCTTAGTCTCCCTCTTTTTTCTCCAGCGTTTTTTGTTCTCACCTCTCACCTAACGGCCTTTCTCGCTACCCCGAATTGACTTTGCACTACTTCACAGATGTCCATCCGAAGCTTTTAGAGTGCATGAACCGGGTCTACCTGAGAGGGTGCGAGAAAGCCTACCTTGGAAAGCTGGTGGACGTGGGCAGCTTTTGCCCCAAGCAGGAACCGGGCAAGCGAAAAGGGGCAGGATCGTTGGTGGCCCACATCCGATCGGGGGATATTTTCAACCCGGATGGAGAAGGTCATCGTCGGCAGGGATTCGGCCAGGTATCTACCTGAATAGACGCTGCTGCTGCTGCTGCTGTGGGGTTGTGGTCGTCTTGGGTGTTTTGTCGTTGTTGTTGTTGCTATTGACGTCGTCATCCTAGCTGTTGTTACTGCTGTTGTTGCCGTCATGTTTTGTTTTGGATGGTAAATATCTTTGATACTTCCTTCTTCGTCGGACCTCACATTTCAACATTCCAGCATTCCAACATTCCAACATTCCAACATTCCAGCATTCCAGCATCCCAGCTCGATTTTCCAGCTCTTCGATTCCCAAGGCCATCGACACACACGCCGCCAGCAAATTCGAAAGGTGTATCACACTGTGTGATATTTGACGTAGAGACACGCTTGTATCGGAACCCGCGCTGCTCTCCCATCCCGCCACCCGCGTCCTACATCTCCAGCCGCCTCTCCAGTACTACTTGCGCGTGCTGGCGGCGAAGGACTGGGATAACGTAACGTTCCTGACAGCCGCGTGGGAAGACAGGGCCCTAAACCCGACATTTTTGACGCTGGAGATGATGGCGGACGCAGGCGTCCTGGGGGAGAACGTCCATCTTTTCAATGTGCGGCTAGATAAGCAACACCGCATGACCCTCGTGCCTTCGAGAAACAGCAATGTGTCTAGGGCGTGGTACTCAGTAGCATATGTAGCATGACGGTGGATGCCTTTATTTCGTTCTCTTTCTGCTCTATGCGGAGAATCACCCTTGTGGACGCTTCAGCTCTCGATTATTCTCGATTATTTCCGCCGCATCTTCGAAAGAAGTCGGCCTCTGCCGCTCGTACGTGCGACTGATAGGCCTGTGCTCCGTTCGCGATTGCCTTGTATCTGTTGTCGGTTTGGGTTAAATACTGAAAATAGAGCGTAATGAAAGTGATACTCCTTGAGAATGTATTAAAATCGCAATGAGTAACGCCCAATAGGCACACAAGCCTTTGGTAGCGTCTAGATAGCTTTTTATATGCGGGTGTTGGACAAGCCTATGGTAGCGTCTACCAGTAACAGTTTTTTATAGGCGGGTGTTGTTTTTTTCTTCCCTGCAGAACCGAACTCTTCTGACGGACATGAAGGAGATGCTCTGCGCGGACGCCTTGGCCACCTCGAGGTCGAGCATGAGTTTCCTCACCTTCGCGCACTCTAGGGCTACCACCTTCTTCGTGCCGACCCCGTGTGGCAACGGGGGGTTCCGCAGGATGAAAGACGTGCCGGTTAAGGCAACCTTCGACAACACCACCTTGCTTCTCCTAGAGAAGCGGGAATCTGAGGTAATGCTGTACGCGAGCTTTGAGGGTTTCCACGAAAAGCTTCCCTGCGATGTTTACCTGCCAGGTTTAAGCGAATATTTTGAGATGACGTCAGGCAGCATCTCCTCAGAATGGTGTGTGTTTGTGTGTGTGTACTTCCGTTGATATCTACCTCCTGTCGTAGTACGGACTGTGCGAGACCTTCGGGATCCCGGTAGATTGTCGCTCCCTGGTAAAACCCATCCCGCCGTGCAAGGCTGTCGCAAGTTTCGATGTTGGCTGGGGTGTTTTCTCCGGATGTATTACGATATCGTTGGGGAGAACTGTTTCAAGCCTCTCTCAGGGGGCGCCAGTATCCCTCGAGGGTTTTCGATTAGCAAACATGTTGGATAAAACCATGCAACCGGGGAAGTTGGGGTAAGACTAGGGTCAGGGATAAGGTCTGCGTACCCCCGTCCCCGTTAAATTTCCTCATTCACTTCGTCTCTCGTACATGCAATTCATCGTTTCAAATCCGTTTGGCGTACAATATAAAGGCGGTCCGGGCGCGCGATCTCTGATATCCGCGCCCCCCCCCCAAAAAAAAACAAACAAACAAAAACATGAACACTTGTATGCCCTGCCCTTGACCCCCGTTCGGCGCAACAGGTGTTCGGCGTCGACTGGCGTCAGAACGGGTCAGATTACTCGGTCTATAAAAATTGGCTCGACAGCCCCCACCAGCTGCTCGAGATGACCACGTACAAGGGAATCAAGGGGTTGCAAAAATGCACCGTGTACCCCCCCGCACCCCCGCAGTCGACGGACCCCCCTGCTGGGTCAAGAGTCGGCCCGGTCGTAGAAAACTGAATTTTTTATTTATTGCGTAACAGTGTGTCCGTGGCGTGAGCATCCATGTATATACAGAGGTCCCAAGTTAGGTCTGCGAATGGTGCTCTTTAGTGTTTATTCCTTATGGTTGCCTTTTATTTTTTATTATTAATTTTTTTTTCGCCTTTGCGAGTGTGTGGATGCCTCGCGCCCATGTGTATCCCTTGGTTATATATTGTAACAAGAGGGTTGAGTTTGTTTTTCTTGGAAACATTTTTTTTTTTTGTGTTCCATTATTATATCATTTCGATCGCTGGTTGTATTGATTACTTGTTTGATTTTCAGTACGTAACAGAATCGAACCTCTGTGGATACAAAGACATTTGGGAGAGAGAGCGAATTGGATACAAAGACATTTGGGAGAGAGAGCGAATTGACCCTGAGAATGAATGATGTTGAAAGTCCTTGTGTTTTTCCCGTCTGTGTGGGAGGGAGTGAACCCTGTAGCTGAATCTTATCGGGAGTTGGAGGGAGAGGTGACCTCTACCGAGGGAACAGGTGAAAACGCTTCCGTCACCCATCAAAGTTAAACTAAAACCCTTTGTTTTGCTGTTCGTGGTCTTGTTTGCATTGGACTACTACTGGAGGGGAGCTCGTTTGATCGGCCGTAGGTCTGTGGAGTCCTTTGTACAAGCCGAAATTCCACAGTCTTCCTAATGGATTTCTATAGGTCTTCGTACCCCCCCCTGTGCGGGCTGCGGCTACGAGATGTGATGCTGCGCTTAGCTGGCTAGCTTACGTGATGCGGTGTGTTCCCTAGCGGCGGTAACTGGTGCTGACTTGCCGCTTTTTGCGGCTTGCCGCTTTTTGTTTCGCGCCACCAAGTAGGCGCGGCCGGTGAGATAATGATACAAGTAGTTGGCTCCAGTGATCGTCTCGCCTTTGTCATCGGGGGCACACAGACAAACCACGGTAGGGTGTCAAAAACAACCTCCGATTTAAGCGAAAGGGGGGATAGAGGTTGTGTACTGTAGATGGTGCGCCCTTTCGGATCGAGCTGTTGAGCTAGCTGTTGAGTGCGACGATGAGGCGACCGGCAATATTTGACTTTTCTATTGTACGTTTCTGTGTCTTTGTTGTTGACCCTGTTGACCCTGTTGAGGGTGTTGGTGTTGGCAGCTGACTTTTTTTCTCGGACAGCAGGTGTCGTCGTCGCCGTGTGTGGTATTGTACGTGAAGGGCGTACAAGTATTAGTAGAGAAATTGGTTACGGCGCACCTGCATAATTGGATCTGCGGTGTGCACCGAGCTATGTACCTGATTTATCTGATTTTTGGGTTTGCGCCGCTTGGCGGCATCAAAGTAGGGTAAGTCAACAGTTCTGTGCGAAACGCTTTGTTCGAGTGAAGTGTTTTATTAGTATTTGCACCCGTTGGGGGGTTGGAGAAGGGACCATAGGGCGACGGGGAAAGTTTGACGTTGTTCTGTACGCAACATGATGGCCGCACCTCACTTGCTGGCGAGAGGCCCAAATGACGCATCGCGCCCAACACGTCTAAGGGCGAGATGACATCGATGATTGACCCCCTAAGCTCGTCTTTTTTTTGTTGTTGAGAAAGTCTTCCGACTATCATCAACCGCTAGACCAGCGTCTAAATAGTAAGCGCATGATGATGCCTGCTTCGCTCCGTGGTCCTCGCACCAATCATTATCTTTGCACATTTACTAACTGCTCGGTGCTGCTCGGGAGTTAGTTGCGATTCAACTACGAAGTAACTGTGGTTTCTGGTTGGGACGGACGCATTCATCCCCTTTGCTGCATCTCCGGCGACGTTGTTTCGGCATAGCGGGGGTTGGAGAAATCACAACTTGTTCTCACGACGGTACGGTAGTAGGGCGACCAAACCCTTCGCTCCCGCCGAACACAATGTTGTAATGTTTACTGAGAAAATGCAGGAAATAGAAGACATGGCCGGACACTGACCGCTGACCAGAACCCGCCCATTTCCGTTACCCGTTGCTGCTGTGACTCTTTGACATCCAATGATGGGAGTATCCAGCATCAGTATCCAACACCGAGCAAGGAGTGTGTTCTATGAAAGGTCCACTGGTAAATAGTATACCCGAAATATGTGAGTGCTTCATGTTGGTTTCGCGCTCAAGTGGGGAATTACCAAAGGCAATGGCCGACAAAGCGTCGTGTCGCTCGAGACGGCATTATCGTCATCATCATCATCATCATCATCATCATAATTATCATACGATCACAACATCATAGTAAAACCCCACCCCCATTGGTAGTACTCTATTCTTGTTGAAAGTTCTTGAATCAATCATCGTGCAACTTCCTAAAATTACTGATCGATGTGCACACAACAGACAACGAAACACCCCAACGACAACGACATGTACCCCCCCCCCCC